CTTCTTCTTCGTCTTCTTCTTCGTCTTCTTCTTCGTCTTCGTCTTCGTCGTCTTCGTCGTCTTCGTCGTCTTCGTCGTCTTCGCCTTCTTCGCCTTCTTCGCCTTCTTCGTCTTCCTCGTCTTCTACTTCGTCTTCTTGGTTCTTGTTCTCGTTCTGCTCGTTCTCCTTGTTCTCGTTCTCCTTGTTCTCGTTCTCCTTGTTCTCGTTCTCCTTGTTCTCCTTGTTCTCGTTCTCCTTGTTCTCCTTGTTCTCGTTCTCCTTGTTCTCCTTGTTCTCGTTCTCCTTGTTCTCGTTCTGCTGGTTCTTGTTCTCGTTCTGCTCGTTCTCCTTGTTCTCGTTCTCCTTGTTCTCGTTCTCCTTGTTCTCGTTCTCCTTGTTCTCCTTGTTCTCGTTCTCCTTGTTCTCCTTGTTCTCGTTCTCCTTGTTCTCCTTGTTCTCGTTCTCCTTGTTCTCGTTCTGCTGGTTCTTGTTCTCGTTCTGCTCGTTCTCCTTGTTCTCGTTCTCCTTGTTCTCGTTCTCCTTGTTCTCGTTCTCCTTGTTCTCCTTGTTCTCGTTCTCCTTGTTCTCCTTGTTCTCGTTCTCCTTGTTCTCCTTGTTCTCGTTCTCCTTGTTCTCGTTCTGCTGGTTCTTGTTCTCGTTCTGCTCGTTCTCCTTGTTCTCGTTCTCCTTGTTCTCGTTCTCCTTGTTCTCGTTCTCCTTGTTCTCCTTGTTCTCGTTCTCCTTGTTCTCCTTGTTCTCGTTCTCCTTGTTCTCCTTGTTCTCGTTCTCCTTGTTCTCGTTCTGCTGGTTCTTGTTCTCGTTCTGCTCGTTCTCCTTGTTCTCGTTCTCCTTGTTCTCGTTCTCCTTGTTCTCGTTCTCCTTGTTCTCCTTGTTCTCGTTCTCCTTGTTCTCCTTGTTCTCGTTCTCCTTGTTCTCCTTGTTCTCGTTCTCCTTGTTCTCGTTCTGCTGGTTCTTGTTCTCGTTCTGCTCGTTCTCCTTGTTCTCGTTCTCCTTGTTCTCGTTCTCCTTGTTCTCGTTCTCCTTGTTCTCCTTGTTCTCGTTCTCCTTGTTCTCCTTGTTCTCGTTCTCCTTGTTCTCCTTGTTCTCGTTCTCCTTGTTCTCGTTCTGCTGGTTCTTGTTCTCGTTCTGCTCGTTCTCCTTGTTCTCGTTCTCCTTGTTCTCGTTCTCCTTGTTCTCGTTCTCCTTGTTCTCCTTGTTCTCGTTCTCCTTGTTCTCCTTGTTCTCGTTCTCCTTGTTCTCCTTGTTCTCGTTCTCCTTGTTCTCGTTCTGCTGGTTCTTGTTCTCGTTCTGCTCGTTCTCCTTGTTCTCGTTCTCCTTGTTCTCGTTCTCCTTGTTCTCGTTCTCCTTGTTCTCCTTGTTCTCGTTCTCCTTGTTCTCCTTGTTCTCGTTCTCCTTGTTCTCCTTGTTCTCGTTCTCCTTGTTCTCGTTCTGCTCGTTCTTGTTCTCGTTCTGCTCGTTCTCCTTTTACTCGTTCTCCTTGTTCTCGTTCTGCTC